CCAGACTCTTGAACCAACATGAGTTAAGAGTCCAGCACTTTTCTTTCGGTTTTGCCAGCATATGTCCCGAATCTTCCTGTCTGATCGTGGTGTTGTAATGCCACATGCAATTTTCTGCCACTATTGCCTTTTCTCTTAGGTAAAAGTGGCTGATTTTGGTCCAAATTAATTTTTATTTTATTAATCGCTGACTTAGAATCTCCAGCAAGTTCTGCTATTTTTCTTTGGAAATGGCTTGTATGCTGGAGAAGAGTTTTAATCTTCGTTTTTTTTGGAGACAAATCGCATCCTCGACCCATGCTGCAAGGCAAAAATATTAAAAAAATATTAAAGATTTTAACAAAAAGTTGATTATTAATTAATTTTAACAACATAAAAATATACTTACATTTTTACTATATTTACAGCACAAAAATAAAAATAACCTTGGTTTCACTGTTTCGTGCCTTAAGTACACTGCGTTTCTCCCGATATAAATGATGAAAATATTTGTAGAACACAAATAAATTATTTAACCCTCAATATCTACTTTAAATTTGAGATACAGAAACATGTTGAATGTAAAAAATAGTTTTCTGCGACACTTACACCACTTAAACTGCAGTCAAATGCACAGAAAGAAAGGAATTAAAAAATTAATTGACTGTCCCTAATAATTTTGCAATCCACTGTATATATGCTCAGGGAATAGGGTTGAGTAATAGGAGGAATTGTAATGTTTAATGGGAATAGAGTACATGTGAAATAGATTAAATTTTTCGTTTTTAACTAAAGGGAATTCTAATATATATACTAGTTTATTGAGGTAAATAAAAGATATAGGTGTTGTAGATTCTAAAATTTTATGAATGTTTCCTAACGTTATAGGTGCGACTAAATTATTTATTCTAAGATGGTTTGTTGCTAAAAGTTCTTTATAAAATTTAATAGTCGAAATAATAGAAGGGTGAATTGCTGCTGATTTTATAAACAATATGCTTGTAATTATTTCGTCTAATTCTCTCTCTAAAGTTAGAACTAATTCGAGAATTTGAATTGAAACAGTTGATATTTCTTCAGAAACTTTCAAGTCAAAAATTATTTTAATAGTAGTATTTAAATAAGAGCTAATCGTATTCAGATTATCATTCATAGAATATTCATCGTAAGAAATTCGCGAAGTAGTGTCATTGAAATTAGAGATGGTAGAGAATATGATCTGTAGTTGTTGGGTTAATACCATGGTCTAATTGTTGCTTTTCTAGCAATTCGATTCATTGATTATAGTATTGTGCGGCTTTCGCATTGGGAGTACCTATCAACCATTTCAAAATCGTACCAAGCCTATCTATTAATTCGCGTTTGACGCGATTATGGTTATTCGTATAGTAGCTGAGTTCGTTCAATCTAGTATCTATTTTATCTAAACTGACTTTGGTGAAGGATTTCGTTGTATAAATGCTAAGGGTAATATATTTACTAGAGTTTATGACGGTTTCGTAATTGGCGATCAATCGTTTCAAGGAATCATGTGAGAGAAAAGTGGTTCTAAGTTTCTGAATATGACTAGGTTCCAGGAGCTTTCTGATATACAAAGTAGTTCGTTTATAGCCATAAGTGTACTTCCATCATTGTGGAGTACCTGGAAGGGATAAGAAATTTGACTTAGTGCTTATGCATTCTTATTGATATTTTTAAAGAATTTGTATAAAAGTATGTATAATATAAATTTGAGTATAGATAAAATTGTAATGTTCGGTGGTCAGAAGGGGTCTTCAGAAACAAACAGTAGCGTGACGTTGATAGATTATTTATCACACGACAGTTAACTATAACATTAAATTATAACTTTCTTACTTGCTATACTGTAGCTGACTCGGAGGTCCGAAGGAACTCAAGGAACTCAAAGAACTCACTAACATTATGGGTGGAGGACATTATAAACCAATACAACTGTACAACACATTTGGGAAAGTAAACAAACAGTCTCTGGACTCTACACTCATTATCAATTACTGGTAATTTGATAATTCTAAATGTTGTTTATATAACATTAAAGTACAATTGATTGAAAATATGTAAACATTACAAAATGATAAAACTAAAATAAGGGTTATTCATGTTTTAGAAAATTTATCGTTTAAAAGTTGTGGTTCGTAAGATGTGCGATTTTGTAGAACAGGGCCATCACCAAATGATGTTGTGACCTGAAAGATATTATTATTTTAATTATATATAAAAATATTTTTTTTGAATCTAAAACTATCTAATATTCATTAGAACTAGGTATCAAGTTGATTATTGCAATCTTGTAAAGGTCCTAAGCGATTGTCGTGAACTAATTGGTTTCTATCTGACTTCCTTATAATATAATTTTCGTTAAATCCTTTTCTTGAAATTTCATAAGATCTTCCCATTTACTGTCTAGATTATATGGATTTGGGACGGGGAGAATGACTTTATAGCCTAATTGAAAATCAGATATTTTTCTGATATTATTGTCATAGCGTGCTTAAGCTCATCTTATGTGGTCAAGATTTCTTTAAGCTATGTCACGAGAAATCTTAAGGCGTTCGTTAAGGTCATTGAGGTAGTCGTTTGTTGTGAATTCGCGTGAGTCATGCAGTGAAACTTTATAATTGAAGTGCTTTTGACATGCATTAAAATCTTTAGAAAAAATAACGAACTAGAACTAACGTTTCGCCGCTTTTCTTCATTGCGACATCCACTGATTCCCTGGCTGTTAAGTAGTTCGGCTAATTATTTCCACTTTTTTAAACAATACTGACGCCCCTGCGGCAAACTCTGAGGTTTAGATAAATCTCCATTGCTTAAAGAAATAAATATACTAATAAGAATATATATTTAAGAATAAATAAAATTATAAAAAGCTCTTGTTTTTAATTTAGTGAGGACTTTTCCATGAATTCCACCATCATTAAAGACTGTATGTGGCTAGTTCTTGACGACATCATTAATTAAATTATAAATAGTTGAATAAAATCGAAAACAAAATACAAATACAATTTTTTAAACAACGAGCAAAGCAACAAGTGAAACGACGCGACGCTTACTCTTAAATGGTAGAACTTAAATGGCGCGTTCGGAAATCTAAAAAACATGGAACATTTTTTTAGTTTAGTGTATAGTATACTATACAAATCAACCTTAAGGATTAACATCCAAACAAAACTTTAACTACTATAATCTACGATCACATTGCGGTTTTTATCTGTTTCAATAACACTATCGAACTCTGCGTAAACAATAAAGTTGATTGTCTGAGTAAGAGTAGATTCAAAGGAACTTCCAACCTTACACTACCATTCATTATTAGATTCCAATGACTCGATGAGTTAGCTGATAAGTCAGGAGTTAAATCAAAAGCTAGAAGACAATTACCTTGCTATACATTTCCCTAGATATTCCGTTTCCTTGGTTTAAAAAAATAATTCCTGTTCCTGAGACTAGTGTATGATAGGACGTGGTGAATATGTTACTCTCAAATGAGGGTTGCAGTGTTTTAGAAAGTACTTGTTGTCCATAAATGTACAAACAAAATGAACTCATCATAATTTTTAGTAAGACTACCACTGTATGCCGCGTTATTCACAAACACAATGATATATCTTTTAGTTATTTGTCCCAGAAATATATTATCTATTGTTTACCCCTGAACCCCTGACGGTATCGTTCAAACTTTTACTTCTGTTCGAGTAATGGAATATTTAGCTGTAGTAGAGGCTAAAACCTTTTGATGTGCGAGTAAAGCAGTTGGATTAATTCGAGCTCTACGGACAATCAGAGTTGCATCTGTAATGCATACTTTTAGCTTTAAATCATTCGAAGCAGTCAATAAATGTTGAATTTTTTTTTGACCTTTGCATGAACAGATAACTATGTTTAGCAATGATAAGAGTATACAATAATTTCTATGCTATTCTTGGCATGAAGCAATATTTAATAACAATTACCAATAGGATAACTTGCTTGATAGCAATTATCAGAAGGGTATCTTGTTTGACAACAATTACCATTAGTGTAACTAGTTTAAAGTTGAACAGAGAGATAAACTAGTCTTATATAAAGAAAACATGATGTTGGAAGCTCATATTCAAGAAAGTAGTGAACAGTGAATATTCGATATAACTTGTGTTGTAAATCCTTAAACACCGATGTCGGTAAGTATATATAATACTGATTTTTCTTATAGTCTTACTGTTCCATGGGTATTAAATTAAATATAGGGAATGTTTCTATAATTGTTTCAGAACTCATTTGAGGAAAATACTTTTAAACAATATTACTATCAACCTTTGTTCTCTGATGAAGATACTACAGAAAATGTAGTCATTGATTCTCCAAAAGAAAAATGTGAGGAACCATCTCACAAAAGAAAACAGGAGGAAGATAATTTTAAGATTTTTTTTACATTTAATCACAAAAAAAAAGTAAAAAGTGCTTAAATGTTCCTCTGTCTCACATACAAAACCAAACGGCACTACAGCATATATGACAACAAACGTTGATGATTCATTATCATCTACGTATTTATCGAAATCTATGAGCTAAAAGCAATAGACGAAGTAACTTATGAAGAAATTTGGAAACATGCAAGGACTAGGGTCGAATATTACACCAATGAAACCAACTCATATATATATATATATATATATATATATATATATATATATATATATATATTATAAGCAAAAAAATACCTTCAAGAGAGTCATGCAAAAAGGTGTCGTTCAACAATAGTGTCAAATAAAACAATTAGCATAATTATAATTACGTATTTAAGTGGTAATTAGTAACAAAGAATATTCAAGCAATTAGAGCTCCAGGAAGAATGTATAATTATCAAAATATTTAATTGCAGTTGTAATGACTTTGTTGTTGAAGAAGACCCTTAGTAAATATATTTATTTACCTGACTGTGAAGTATAAGAAGTCATGTAACTTGGAAAGAATCACTCATTTATTCATGCTCTGTTGACATTACCTCTACATTAACTAAAATGGAAAGTGTTACGAGTGCTTTCTTTGTTGACACTGAAGACTTGGAAATGTTTGGATTCAGTGAATTAGAAGACATCTGTGAAGACTTAGATTTAGTTAAACTCTGTGATGAATTTGAAGCAAAACAAAAACCTCACTTGGTTGATCCATCATATGATGATGAGTTGTATAAATTTTTGCTATGGTTAAAAAAAAATAGGTAAGAAAACAACAAAAATTGTTTTCGTAATTGATTTTATAAGATTTTTTATTTTTATTTTATGTTGTATGAATTTAACGTTACCATAATATCTCCCTTGCAGTCAACGGTCATCATCTTTGTCATCATATGAGATTCAAACTGGTTCCGGAGGACTTCGAAAAAGGAGTGCTGAAGATGGTGATAAAAGCATGAAATGAAGCTGCAAAAAATCCCGAAACAAAGAAGATACACTAACTTCTTCAATCGTAGACAAGGTACATTGTAATATATGTAATACATTTATTAATCAAAGATATTTTGCTAATCATGTTAAAAGCAATATTCACAAAAATAATATTTTAAAATGTCACAATTCTTTAAAAAATGTGTCTGTTATAGAGTCAGCTGTTGGACAACTCATTATATCTAATAAAGTCAAAAGTAATTACCAATCGGACTTAGTCTTTCTTAGATTTTTTTTTCAGTTAAAAGTGATTTGTTTTTTTTAATCAATGAGGCCATTAAACAACATATCACTTTAACAATAAATTTTGTCTTACATGCAGACTTTGTTCAACAAACTAAAAACATCTTTAATTCATTTGATTTTCAAACTATTTCATAATTTCTCAGGCAGATGATTTAAATGTTTTTATGACATCACTTTGTGAAACATTGACAAACAAAATAAGCTCTTTTGAAATAAAGGATAGCGGATGGAGTCTGACCAAAGTTAATCACATAGAACTGGTCATAAAAAAATTTAGCCCTCTACGAGGTTCTTCCTATTTTTAATTTAACAAAGGATATCGAAGTAAAAAAAGCAATAATAAATGTACAAAACTCTAATATTTTTGTTTCAAATGGGCATTGTTATCTGCATTATATCCTGTAAACAAACATACAGAACGTCCATCATCATACAGCGCTCATTTAAATAAACTCAAATGTCATGGGTGTTAAGTGGCGAGAGAATAATAAGTCTTTTTATAAACTAATTTATTTATTAACACTAAATTAACAAGATTTTAATTTAAAGAGATTGAATTCTTAGAAATGGTATACTTATACAAAATAAAAGTAAACTAAAAAAACAGAGTAAAGATCTTGAAAGGAGCTAGAAATAGGAATGTCTAGATTTCGGGAGTATTTATATGGGTTTGGAATAGGAGGGGATAATTAGTGGTGAGTATTACTTTATTTACATGACAAATTTGTTAAAACTAATTAAGGGCTAAAGGTTGTTAAGATAATATGATTATTTACTAATGATCTAAACACGATATGGAAGTACACAGTAAATGAGAGATTTATATAATATATGTGAGTACATGTCTAATAATAGGTATAGTTAAGTGCATACGTAACACTTCCCCTCTTAGAATAAAGATCGGGCCTTAGGTGTGCGCGATCTTGCAGTTGTAGGTGAATTTTCCTCTTCATTTTCATCTTCTGATAGTGTGCTCGTGTTGATTGTTGGTAGCGGGGTGCTCTGGTGCTGACGAGAGTTGACGAAACATTGTTAAATATTTGGATACAGCCTGCTTTGGGCTGAAGAGCTCGTTGGTTTCGATTTCTAGTCCAGAAATAATGCCATGGGCAGCATTTGTAAAGTAGATAAATAAGCATTGATGAACCCAGTGCCATAGCGGCGAAACGGAATTTAGGACTGGAGAAGTTACTATTGAAGGAGTTCTGTTGTTCCTTCAGAAGTCATTCTTGGACTTTAATTTGTTCTTTATTAATATGTAGGGAATCTTAGGGAACGTTTTTCACCATTATAGGGTGTAATTCAGGTAGAATTGGTTATTTCAACGTTTCAGGAAGACAGGCATCTTCAATGTCCACTGTGATGATCGGGTGAGTCAGGTTCATCATCGTCTATCTTTTGCGTTGAGTGTCACAAAAGTGGTGTAAAATTTGCATCCTGAGTTCAGGGAAATTATTCCGGAGCCGAAGATTTCCTGATGTACTATTTTGTTCCCGCATTCAACTACGCTTGGTGTCTTGAATCTCAGGAGAAATATCCACTGGTTATTTCCGATGGATTGAAAGGTGTCCACATGTGTTGAGAAGGTTGACAGTTCGCAATTACTTGGCGGTTCCTTGCTGGACAATTGTAGTATCGCAATCTCGCATATTGGTCTGGCGTTGTAGTTGTATACTGGTAGGTCCTTGCAAACTCTTGTTTTTGTTGTGAACATCTTGGAACATTCCAGGAGGCTCGTTGTGACGTTAACGTTGCCGCGTAGTAGAAGTGGCAAGGTACAGTGGGTTGCCAAATTATTAGGAGCAGTCACTAAAAATTGGTATTCGTGAAGTATTAGTCTGAAATTCATTAGAAAAAAACTGTTTTAGTTATAATAAAATTTAATAACATTAAGCTAATATTTAAAAGTAATATATGAACAAAAAAATTAAAATATACAATAAATTTTACATAATTAAGCGAAATGAAATGATACTTTGTACTTATCAATACTTAGTAACATTTCCTTTTGCCTCAATGAGTGCTTCAATGTGCCTGGACATGCTTTCTATACACTGTTTGGCACTTTCTTTTATTCTGGGGTTGTGATGCCAAACATCAATTAATTTTCTATCACTTTAACCAGTTTAACCTCATAAATTTTCAATGGGTTCATGTCAGGTGAATTGCAAGGCCAAGGTAAAACGGGAATATTTTGGTCTGCCCAAAATTTGGTAACGCTTCTAACCTTGTGCAATAGTGCTGAATCGTGCATAAATGTGAATTCCTCACCATCTTATCAATCGAAAACCATTCCTTAAGTTGCAGTAATAGGCGAATTTGTAAAATTTGTCTGTACTGGTCTTGTTTTATGGTTCCTTGGACAATGTAGAGACGCCCAACCCTTCTAGCACTTATCACAGACCATACCATTATTTTAACGGGGTGTTTCGCCCTGTCCACGATGCAGTCGGGGTGGTATTTTTCATCTTAGCGTCGCCTGACAAAGCTGCTCTTGTCGGCTAGAATTTCAAATGTTGACTCATCCGAAAAACACACCTGAAAAAAAGGAAAATAGTTTATAATTTTAAAAATATGATGTAAAATACCGATAATAATGAAAACTCACTTTACTCCAGTCCTCGACAGTCTTTTGGCGGTGTTCACGAGCCCAGGCAAGAAGTTTTTTCTTCATCGCATCAATAAACCGAGGTTTTTTAATAGGACGATGACCTGTCAAACCTTCCTCTGCCAATCTTCGCTGCACAGTTCTCTTGGAAACTGGTATACCAGACTCTTGAACCAACATGAGTTAAGAGTCCAGCACTTTTCTTTCGGTTTTGCAAGCATATGTCCCGAATCTTCCTGTCTGATCGTGGTGTTGTAATGCCACATGCAATTTTCTGCCACTATTGCCTTTTCTCTTAGGTAAAAGTGGCTAATTTTGGTCCAAATTAATTTTTATTTTATTAATCGCTGACTTAGAATCTCCAGCAAGTTCTGCTATTTTTCTTTGGAAATGGCTTGTATGCTGGAGAAGAGTTTTAATCTTCGTTTTTTTTTGGAGACAAATCGCATCCTCGACCCATGCTGCAAGGCAAAAATATTAAAAAAATATTAAAGATTTTAACAAAAAGTTGATTATTAATTAATTTTAACAACATAAAAATATACTTACATTTTTACTATATTTACAGCACAAAAATAAAAATAACCTTGGTTTCACTGTTTCGTGCCTTAAGTACACTGCGTTTCTCCCGATATAAATGATGAAAATATTTGTAGAACACAAATAAATTATTTAACCCTCAATATCTACTTTAAATTTGAGATACAGAAACATGTTGAATGTAAAAAATAGTTTTCTGCGACACTTACACCACTTAAACTGCAGTCAAATGCACAGAAAGAAAGGAATTAAAAAATTAATTGACTGTCCCTAATAATTTTGCAATCCACTGTATATATGCTCAGGGAATAGGGTTGAGTAATAGGAGGAATTGTAATGTTTAATGGGAATAGAGTACATGTGAAATAGATTAAATTTTTCGTTTTTAACTAAAGGGAATTCTAATATATATACTAGTTTATTGAGGTAAATAAAAGATATAGGTGTTGTAGATTCTAAAATTTTATGCATGTTTCCTAACGTTATAGGTGCGACTAAATTATTTATTCTAAGATGGTTTGTTGCTAAAAGTTCTTTATAAAATTTAATAGTCGAAATAATAGAAGGGTGAATTGCTGCTGATTTTATAAACAATATGCTTGTAATTATTTCGTCTAATTCTCTCTCTAAAGTTAGAACTAATTCGAGAATTTGAATTGAAACAGTTGATATTTCTTCAGAAACTTTCAAGTCAAAAATTATTTTAATAGTAGTATTTAAATAAGAGCTAATCGTATTCAGATTATCATTCATAGAATATTCATCGTAAGAAATTCGCGAAGTAGTGTCATTGAAATTAGAGATGTAGCCCAGTCATATTAGGGCTTTCACCTCGGAATGAAAGATAATAAGCTGCAAATTGGTATGAACCTTTGTTTTGTCATTCTAAATGTTGTCTCAAAAGTCACAATCGTTATCGTGTCCGCGTCTCAAGATATTCAAGGTCAAAGGTCACAAAAATCGGTTTTTCGCGAATATCTGGCTTCCTATCGGTTAAATGAGATTTGCATTTATTATAAAAGTTGTAGGCTATAAAATTCCCTACAACTTTTGTTTAAACTTTTTTTTCATACGACCAACCGTTTTGAAGGTAGAGCGCGAAGTGCACATCGTACAGTCATATACGGCCTAATGCAAGGTCAAGCGTGAGTTATGGTTATCAGTACGTTATAAAGTCAATTATTTACTTGGAAATTATAATTATTAAACAATGCCTATTATTTATGTACTAACTATTAATTATTTATATTTAATTAAAGTAAGTAACTTGATTATTTATATATAATTATTCATATTTAACTATTTAAGTATAAAATATTATTAATTCTGGATTATATATTTTAGTTTTATTTTAAGTTAAAATGATAGTAAGAGTATATATTTTACACATATTTTTATTTATTATTAAATACGGCATAATATACATTTATCAAAATGTGAGTTCAAATATCAAAAGTATCTTTGTTGATTTTAATTGTAATGAAATTGGAAATGGAAGCTAATTATCTTCTTCTTCTTCGTCTTCTTCTTCTTCTTGTCGCTCAAAAATGTTCGATTCATTGTCATCATCCTCATTA